CAGCATCCTTTTGAATCAGATTTAGAATTTTCCTGTCCAGAAATAACCTAACACGGCAATTAAGTGTTTCTGAACAGGAGAAAGACCCTCTGAACGCAAGAGCAAACTGTGATAGAGGAAGCCAGTGTGGTTTTACGACGTGAAGGCTAGGAGGTGATCCCTGCATGACTGCTGAGGGTTGTGAGATGGGAAGAAGGGAAGCACTTGATGCAGCGTGGTGGCAGTAGGTTGGAAAATGACAGTTTTTAACCCTGGCGAGCAGCAGAAGGACTAAACATCTGTAACAGAAACCTGATTTGTGTTGGGAGAGCAGCAGCATGATTGCGTGCCAGGAAATGTGCTCTAAGGGATAAATTAACACTGATAAGATGCTCCTACAGTTTCCTCATACTACTGTGCTCTCTCCATCTCCCACAGCTGTCATCGATGCAGTAGGTGTGAAATGCTAAATTAATTTTCATTTGGAGATAAAAATTTTCATTTACGGTTCACAAATGTGGAAAAGATGGTGGATGCATGTCTTCAGTCAAACATAGTGCTGGGTGACATTAAGGAGAATAAATCCAAAGTTCAGGTCGTGAAAACTGACGTTTTTGCCCAACTCTTGGAATGGTCGCTAATGACAAATCCATTTTTACAGCTTTATAGTCAGATCAGCTCTGGGAAGGTTCATTGGAAGAGACTTTTAAAGGCCATCTCATCCAACGCCCTGCACTGAGCAGGGACATCTTTAACTCCACCAGGTAGCTCCGAGCCCCATAATTTACAACATTTACATCCCTCCATTTTGTGCAACATCACCTCTTATTTATGGAAGGAGGATTCAAACCTCCAAGGAAAGTAACTGAAAGAACATCACATGAAATCAAGAAGATCTAGAGCACTTCTTTCTGGCCAAAACTTCTTAGTCGGGGCACAGGCTATCCGCTCGCTACCACCAATAAATCTTTTCTGTAAGCAAAGGTTAAATAATCCGGCTCTACTAAAAGGGAATCCAAGCTTGCGAACATGAGCCTGAAATGCATGCTTATGTTCATGGAAAACACACACACATGGGAAACATCGAGAACCTGTTCTGCAAGAGCAGCAGCTTACAGTTTAACTGCTTTGGGAAAGATTTCTCTCAGCCTATATTAAGTCCCCAAAACAACCCATTTCATTACCAACTGCTGCAAATCACATGGATCTGCTACACAGTATTCCATTAATCTCTATGGAAACTGATTTTATTCTATTCAATTTAGATGACTAAGTATCTTTCAAAATCTGACTCAAAAATGCAAGCAGGCACCTTGCAGTATTTTGCTAAATGCCTAGGTGCTTAAATTCCCATTGAAATTCAGGCAACTAGCTCTCTTTCCCCAAATCCCATAAAAACATCTACCAGGATCACTACAAGCAAAAAACCTCTTGAACATCCTGGTGCTTTGACCTTCTGCACTCAGGTAACAGAGAAGCAAAATGTTTTGGTTTTTTGTTCTGTTCCGGATTTATAGAGATCTGCATTTATAGTTGTTTACAATCACTGACTTTCCTGTCCTTAAAATTTTTTAATACGTAGGAAGAGCTGATAGTGGCAATTCTTTAACTCTTAAAGCTGAAAGTACATCCTTTTCATTTTAATGAAGGCTTTAGGACACAGAACATATGTTCCAGTTCAGTCTTGATGAAAATAAATCCATCTACGGCTCACCAAAATTCTCAGAGGACACCACAGCACTAGCTTTAGTAGCTATCTGCACAAACTGTACCCTAGTTTAAAATGGTTTCTGTTCCTGCATGATGGCACTCTTGTGATGTTCGGCTGCAGGCAGAGTGTTCTGGGAAATGCAAATATTTTCTCCAATCAGCATCTTTTTCGCTTCTTTTTATAACGATAAAAACCTGAAAAATGAGCAATTTCAGCAAGAATGTACTCCACTGCAAGACACAGTGTGAAGCAATTCTGCAGTGATAAGCTGTCCATGCTCAAAAACCTCTGTTCCCTACTTCCAGCATTCCCTGTGCTAGCTGGTTAGTTTGTACCCACCACGCTTTCTCTTCAGCAGGCAGGAGGCTGGACTCTTCATTTTCATGTTGGTTAGGGCTGGGATTTTGTGGTCTAACATTAATGGTGGTAAATATCAATTCCAATAAAGGAAGATGGAGGGAGGGTAGCTACACTTCCAATGGCTGTGGTACTCTTAAGAAAAGTATTAATCAACAAAGTGTGAAGATTCACATTCACGAGTGCTTTAAAAACGCAAAAAATCCAAGAACACTTGCACATTAAGATTTGGCACAGTGGGAGCCTAAAGCGTGCATAAGAGTTGTCTGCCTTCAAATGCCTATTCTGAACAAACACCTACTAAACCCCCAAAATTTGAGTATAAAAACTAGGCTATAAGTTGTTACACTGTAAAGGCAATGCTTTGAAATAAAAATGCCACATGGAAAACAATTCCAGAAGTTTTAAGTTTGAATTTAATATTTAAAAAAAAAGAAGAGAGAAATAGCAAACTAGTTGACCAGTGACATTTCCTACAGTGGAATGTCCTGCAGGCCATATGTGACTTGATATGGCACCTTAAAAAAAAAAAAGAAATCACTGATTTACTAGGAATTTTATGGAGCAATCCATTTACGGTTTTTGTATTTCAAATCTGCTCATGTATTTTGCTCAGAAGGCATTTGAGCTGGCAAGTATATTTCAGAAGGAAAGAAGTAAAGGCACTCATGTTTCCAAACCCAAAACTCAACCTACTCTAAGAGCAGGCTGCATTTCTGCAACTCTTTGCATTTCTGAAGGGAAACTCAGCCATCCTATTAGTGACCCAAATCTAGTTTCACCTCCTTTCCAGAGCTCACCTGTGCTTCTTGAGAACTACTTGATTTTCAAAGGAAATGAATTTAAAATAGTACTGTACGGTTCCCATCGCTTGAAAAAAGCAAAAGTATTGCAGGAAAACTCACTGTTTTATGCACAAAAGCCATCAGGTATGGCCACAAGAAGGGGGAAAAGGATCGTAACAGCTTAGAAAGCTGATTTAAGTTCATACATATGAGCATCTCAATACTTCTGAGAAATCTTTGCAGTTAGCTATACAAGATAAATAAATCTGCTGTTTTACCTAATGCTCTCTAGATGAGAGCCCAATGCTGTCTACTGGGTAGTTTTCCAAATAGCCAACACTACATTAAAGAAAAATAATTACTGAATTTCTTCCTCAAAAGGTTTTCACATGCAGAGTCTGCGGTCTAAAAGTGCAGAAAAGTGTACAATCATTTAGTTTTCCAATCTGGAACAGACAGATAAAGTGAAAAAATCAACATGCAAAGTCACAGCAAGGTATTGGGAAAAGGGAAGAAAAGACAAAACTAACTTTAGTAGCGTACTGGTCCACGATTTTGTCAATGAAAAGTGTTTAAAATATGACTGATAGTAATTTTTTAAACTATTCTGCAATCGCTAATGAAAAAAAATCCTGTATTAACTTCTACAGTCAAATGGAACATTAAAAATAAACCTATCCAGTCAGTTTTGAATGTATGCAACAGAAATAAAGGTAACCCTCCTCCAAGAAATAGGAAAAGTCCAAACCAACAGACAAAAGATGAAGCAGGGACAACTTGCATCTTACTGGGTAAGTTTAAGCATCTCTTTAGGCACTTCACTGGTTCGTTAAATGCAATACAAAATAAAGCTATAAATATCAACATTTTGTGCTCTTAAAAATTAGCTGAAAGGAACAGAAAACAGCACAAAACTGTGACATTTTTGGCAGCTTATTTCTTCCCTTCCCCAATATTACCGGTGGTCCACGAATGCTTTGTTTTGGGGATGCTTTGGCATCTCAGTATCAGGTTGTCTTAAGCCGTAAAAGCTAAAACAAAACTGCTAGGCCTTAGACAATAAAGAAATTTGGTTTTAAAATTTCTTTATGGCTATTTAAGAAGGACACTTTAGCAGTGGCATGATAGGGAAAAAAGCTCGCTTTTTTTTTTTTAAATATTGCACTTTTCTTTTGTTCACTCACACTAATGCATAGAAACTTCTTAAACTTTTGAGTATTAAAATTCCATGCTATGAAAAAAGTTATGGGAAATAAATTTCTACACATCCAATATGAAAGAACAGATATGCTAGCCTTCCTTTACTTTCCTTAGTTAAAACATTGAGAAAGAAGAGAGTGCAATAAAACCCGAACCCCTATTTTTGGTCAGCCTGTGTATTAACTTTTTAGGTGCCAACTAAACAGATCGCGACATGTGATGAGCATGGACACTGCAAGGACAACTGAGGGTGACGGTCGGTAAAACAAGATTATGCATGACTGAAACACAGGAAGAGTGGCTGAAATGGGAAATCACGAGGCCCCTCCTCTCGGAAGCGGCACGACAAAGCAGATGAATTTCGCACTTCAGTAGCATGCTGTAGGATTTATCACCATTAATTTCACATTAAAGTGTGCTCAATGTTTGCATCCACATCTCGCATCACCTTCAACTGCTGTAGTAAGACAGTGACTGGCGAGCAGCCTCCAGGAGACACAGAAGAATCCAGTGGACAATTCGATGCAACCCAGCCCGCGCGTCTGTCACGAGTCACAACGTTCTCAGGACAGGCAGAACCGATCTCCTGCTGGACTTCACGAATCTGAAAAATGATTGCTTGGAAAAAGAAGTCTCTAAGCACTTCACTCTGGTGCTTAAAGAACAAAGCGCTAGGATTGGATATCATAAAAACAGTTTCGGGATCCTGACCACTGCGCAGAAATCCAGGCGGAAACAATGCAGAGTAGTGCTCCTCAGTGTTACTTTTGTTATCATTAGTAATGTTAAGCATCAAGAAAATAAAACACGTCATTGCACATTACAGCCGTCGAGAAGCACGGCTAAACTTTGACACTAGAGAATTGAATAACCTGATGCTACATCACAAACAGCTTCTGGTGTGTATCTATTTCGAAAGGTCTTTACATACTCAGTGAAAACTCCTTTATTCCTGCCCAGTGACTGTTTCAGGTTAGGTGACGAGTTATGGCACGAAGGGCGTACAGAAGCTCAGCCTGCATACGAGCTTCCATTAGGAGCAGATTGACGTGAACCTGTTAAAAATTAAATCAGCCATTTAGTTCACTTCCGAATGCAACATCACTTAGTCATTTAGGCTACAATCTCTAAACCTCAGTAAAGTATCACTGCAAGAAACTAGGTCCTTGCTCCATGTACCCTGCTGCAGGACTCGAGTTCCTCTTGAGGCAGCTGTGAACTATGCCAATACTAGAAAATGTCTTAGAACTGCAAGGAATGAGCCTCAGGTGCTGCTTTGAGCAGTGTTCCACCTAAAAAGTCTCAATAAAACCATTTTTCTATACTAATACTACTAGTTCTTTATGAATTATATTTTGTTTTCTTTACTACCACCTGTGACTGCAACACAGGAGCACAGAATAAGGAACGTTTTTTGTGCCAGAAAGGTTAGCAAGCACTGAACCCTCATCAGGAAGCATTTAACTTGGATATCTGAATACACGTTCACATTTTCACTGATGAAAAACACCGTAAAGATTATACATGTATGACTTTAGGTCTTTTTTGATACCCAAATCCCACGTGCTGGCGTAGTTGACCATTTTCGCATTCGTAAGTTTACCACTTTCTTTTTTTTTACAGTTGTCATTTCAGTTTTATGGAGAAGTCACTCAAAATAATAATTAAAAAGGAATCCGTATTTCCAGTACTCTAACAAACCTTTTTGTAAAGCTGGTATCTAACTCTTAGTGAATTCACCTTGTTTGCTTTTCTCTGGTTAAAAACAGCTCATTCGACAGACACTGCCATTTTTACTGTATTTTTTTAATATTTTCATTTTTAATACGCACCTTCTCCGAGTGCTTGAACTGACGCCAGTAACTGTCGTACATGCGCTTGGTTGTTCTCTCTGGGTAGCAGGTCACTGTCTTTATGTAAACCTTCAGGCTGCGTTCAAGTAATTGATTAACTTCTCCATAATCATAGTCATCATACCTAAATAACAGAGGCGATCATTCTGTTAGATGTAAGTTTTTAAAAGCGTGGTCTTTTGCGGCATCATTTTCTTAAATCTGGGAACTGAAGCATTTATTACACGTGCTAGAAAACCACGGGCTAACAGAAGATCTGACAGGCTTAGTACTAGGATGTTGCCTTTTCTGTGCAAACGCTACAGGCTTCAAAGAAGACGCTTCTGTAACGTTTTCCATCCTGATTCACAATAATTTTCTCTCCAGTGGAAGCAAAAGTTACACTGCTACGCCAGCAAAACCACTCTAACCTGCAGACTGAGGGTACCATCTCCGCTTTAACACACCGAGTTTAGAATCACGCTTTTCACACGGCTCATTTTTCACTCTGTTTACACAGTTTAACATGCACCCCCCTAAGCCAGGGGGCTTTCATCCCTACCTGATTCCATACATACAGTGGACATAGTTAAATAAAGCTCTTCTTAGCGTAGTTGTATCAACATCTTCATGTGTTGCCATAGTGTTATAAGTGAGGTTATATACCATCCGAAACTTCTCATCCAGGAGATGCCCAATATCAGAATAAAGCCTGTTTACAAGGGAAAAGCCATGATTTTCCCAAGTATAGTCCTGCAGGAAGAGAAGGAAATATATAAATGTATAAATGAAATGAAGTCCCTATCTGTTCCTCTCTACAGCTCAATAACTTTTGTTGTCTGCTAGTTATAACTTTATTCTCCTTAAAATAATTGAATTTTGAATCCTTCACCCATATCACCTGCTCCATTCCCCCAGGCTTCTTGACAATGAGTTATCACGCAGCAACACCCTACCTCCAGCTGGATGTCATTAGCCTCCAGGAGGAGAAAACTCCAAGCTTATCCCTGAGGTGTTGAGGCAATTTTCCACTGCCTGCTGTGACACTCCAACTAGTGTCACATGTGGGATGGGCCTATAAATCTAAAAACTTGTTCCTTTTGGAGGCTTTAATGCTTAGTTCTGTACAGAACTGGAGTATTTACTTCCAGCCAGGATGTACCATTACTGGGTAAAGTGCTGAACCATCCTCGAACAAACTAATAAAATGCAGGCTGCTTTGGTCTTAGACAAGTGCTTGGATCACAAGGATAAAAGCTTGCTGGCTCCTATCAGGAGTGGGAAATCTTTGCAGAGCAGTGGGCATGGCACCAGCAGTGGAGAACTGCCCTGCTTCAGAGCAGCGTGCAACCACTGCCCACGCTGCGGTTACACCAACACGTCAGTTTGTGCCCGTCCTTGGCAAGTGTTTGGTCATTCAGTCACTGATACCACCTCTACAATTGAGGGCATCGCCTCCACGTGACCCCTGCCTTTGTTTCAAAAGGTGCTGCTGGGCAAGGGTCCTCACCCAGGTGCTCTAGAGCACGTCTATGGGACCGGCTCCCTGGTGAGGATAGTAGGGAGGAGCAGGGAGGACGGTGTTCTGTGGCCTAACTGAGGCATTCACTGACATCTGAACATGCCACAACACCACACTTGGCCTCCAGCTTCCAGCCAAAAGACCGTAAGGCTTGTGAGTAACAGGCCATGCCCACCAGCCCTTTAAAGGGGTCCAGGATATGTGGGGCATCACAAAAACCTCTGAAAACCAGAAGCCCCAGGAGGGTGAAAGTGTTGCTTACTAACAGCAGTTGATCCATACTAACAACTACATAAAAATTAAAAAATTTTAAAGACATTTTACAGTGAATGGAATACCTTTTCCTATTACTAAATCTAAACCCGCAGAGGTGAAATAGCCTTGTTTATCAGAATAAGGATTAGATTTTTTGCAGGGATTGGGGATGCTGATGCAATTTAAATAGCATTAATAGCAGAACATTTGGGAGGCTGTGGGTATATACATCTAACTGCTATAAGAGCAGCACACACTAATAAAAAGTTAAATTATCAAAAGTTAAATTATCAATATACATCTAACTGTTTAAGAGCAGTACATACTAATAAAAAGTTAAATTATCAAGGTGACTCCTTTGAATGTAGGCCAGAAGATGTCTCACTTATTTAAGAGCAGAGATGTTTTAGTTCCAATTTCAACTTCTCCAGAGCTTTTTTTCCATGGAAGCCTGCTGCTCCTAAAGCGGTTAAGCAGAATGTTTGATTTATAGGCACTGCCTCTGCCTTATTCTTTTTGGCAATATCTACCTATTTCAGGCTCATATAAAGACCACAGAGCAGATTACCCAGATCAGCAGAGACTGCTACATGGCTAAACACATTTCCTGAGAGTGATTATGGATTCTTAATTTTACAGTCGTAGATTCATCTTCTGACCATGAAGTTTTCCTGTACCCACCGTTCTTTTTAATGGAAGTTGTCTGATTTGGTTTAAGATTGCCTCTATTGCTCACAATTTATTACTAGACTACTGATTAATCTACTCTATAAACTGGAACAGAATTACCTACAATGTCCCTCCTGTTATATGTATTACGAAGACATGCATGAGTCTCGCCATGGCAAGAGAGGCCAATATGTGAGACAATGTACAGGTAAAATGCTGTTCTTTCAGCAGCACTAAAAAGAAAATATTAAAAAATAGCCAGAACCTTCAGTGATCATATTCAAGAACTTCTTGTATTTTCCACCGTTCAAAGTCCAGTGATTTGGTGCATGTACGAGAACGATACTTATCAAATCGCTCTCACAGACATATATACATCCGTGTATTGATAACCACAGGATATGGAATACTTGATAAAATGACAGGAAGAAAGAGTTCTTTCTGTGGATTTTTACTACAACATCTGGAGGGATGGAGGAGAAATTCTTTCTTTTCAACCTTTCACTTTTATTCCAGATTTAGTGATACGCTTTACTGTTTTCAAACATTAATTCTGGTAATAATCAGAATAAGACTGAAAGCTAAACATTCCCTTGTCTAAGACTTACCAATAGTAAAAGACTCATCTCAGGTAGATTTATGGACCAGGACAAGATAAAAAGCATACAACAAACATGCCTCACTATAACCACTTTACACTCACTCACAGGCTGATGGAGTTGGGGTTATTCAGCTTAGAGAAGCGAAGGCTCCGGGGTGACCTAATAGCAGCCTCCCAATACATGAAAGGGGCCTACAGGAAAGTTGGAGAAGGGCTTTTTACAAGGGTCTGTAGTGACAGGACAAGGGGTAGTGGCCTGAAACTGCAAGAGGGTAGATTTAGATTAGATATAAGGAAAAAATTCTTCACCATGAGCGTGGTGAAGCACTGGAACAGGTTGCCCAAGGAGGTTGTAGATGCCCCACCCCTGGCAGTGTTCAAGGCCAGGCTGGATGGGGCTTTGAGCAACCTGGGCTAGTGGGAGAGAGGTGTCCCTGCCCACAGCAGGGGCATTGGAACTAGATGATCTTCAAGGTTCCTTTCAACCGTAATGATTCTATGATTCTATTTACCCTGTAATGAGATAGACAAACATTCTTTCAGTGAATGTATTTTAAAGAGATGGTACCTGAGCTCTGAACGTTGGCAGATGGTCTTCTCCTCGCCTTGCAAAGTCTTTGTACCCAAATCCAGGATCTTCAATATAGCGAGAGACATCTGTAGAAACTATTTCGTCATCAAATGCTGTGAATAAAACCCAAAATGCTTGGCTTTAGGCAAGTATATGATCTAGCACCAGCTTTCAGGTACGACTCTACTATAGGACTAGAGAATAAGTTTAGAAGTTGTGCAGAGGAAGTGCATGGTACAAAGGAAAGAAACATTTCAATTCCAATCTGCTTGTATGGGATCCATCCCGTTCACTGAGGCAAAATGTCAGCCTACAGCAGACACCTGATGTACTTCTACAAAATGGGAGGAGATGGGTTCAACTTCTGGCTGGAGGTGTGCTTTTCTCTCTGTTGACTTCTGAAGGAGGCTAGGTACCTTAAATCAGTAAGGCAAATCCCATTAGTAAAGTCATTGCACTAGGACAAGAAACAGAGAAACACACCCTTGACAAAAGGATCGCTACACTGAGCAGGTATGGTGTCAGGAATTACACCAGCTGTGTTCTATAACCTGGAGCACGAGCAACCAGAAAGCAATGCAACACTGCACCTGGAAATATCAGTTGAAGACTACGTGAAAGCAAAGAGCTCTACAATACATCGGGCTGAAATTCAGCCAGAAGCTCACTAGTAACTAAGCATCTTCAAAGAGCTCCAAAACGTGTCACTAAGCAAGTGCAGGCTCTCTATCAGGAATCAGTCTTCCCCTCCCGAATAAACAGGTGGCGTGATTGTGTAACTACCTCTGCAGAAGTCGGCTGCTGCATAGCTGACTGCATTTGACCCTGATGTTAAAATCCTGGCTCCCCTCCACATGCATTGACAGAACAGTTGCCATATGTCCACTGTTAGCACCTTGAGAAGTCAGTTAGTCAAAGAATTGCAGAAGTGCTTTATCTCCTCTTTGCCTCATTAAACAATCAAAACATCACTGCGTAGGGAGAAGCTTGCACAGCATCTGCTACAGCAAATCCTCAGTGAAGAATAAAAAACCTGCACACTCCTCTCTGCTGACAAGGACTGAATTTCACGAAAAGGTAAAGGTCTGACACATACAGACTGTCAGCTCAAACCAGCAAAAGGCAAAGAAGGAGGAAAGTCAACAAAAACTGTCAGCAACCCCATCAAAAAAGCCTTTCTGTCCCAAACAACATTTCTTCCTTCTGTGCCAGAAGTTGCAGAGACTCATGGAAGTCTTGATTTGATAATGAAACTGCAACAGGTGTCAGTTTATCTGCACTGTTGATACTGTCCGACCCTCCAAAAAAAAAACAGATTAAGAATGAACAATGTTCATTTCTTAAAATCCAGCCATGACATTCTCTTCTTTCAGAGATTCTGCATGTTCCTAGGGAGCCACAAAACAATCTCTCTGCTGATCCACAACACATTCTTTTTCCCTTTTGCTCAAAAGCTTCGATACCTTCAAACATGTCTGGTCTGAAGCTACCAAAATCTAAATTCACAAAGAACTGTCAGGAAAATATGAAGCATTTTATGAGTCCCTTCCTAAAAAAACACAAGCTATCATCTTCAGGTAGCCTCTACTACAAAGAAACAGTTGGAGATTCTGATTGTCTTGGTAGTATTCAACCCAAACTAGTTTCTGAACTGAATGTCGTATCTGAAGGCTACTTACCAGTGTTACTGAGCACCTCAGAACCTAAACCACTGAAATGTTACTGGATATTGACATGAATGAATGAATTTGAAGATACAGAGCACATGAAGTAAGAGAAAATTACACTCAACTTTTAAAAGACCTACATGCTTTGTTTTCCCCCCTAATATACAAAAATCTCAATTTCAAGTAGCAAAAAGGATGGTATCATTTGCTAATCAAGGAATCTTAAGCAGATGAAGCAAGGGACAGGACCACCCATTCTGCACTCCCACTGCAGCAAGAGCCAGAATAAAGAAAAGGACAGAAAAAGTTCTAGGCACTAAACTGGCCTCAAATGCTTAATCCTTACAAAGCACAAACAAAAGGAATTGGAAAAACACAAATACCTCCACTAATTACTAGAAGACTCTCCTTCTTTTCCTTCTCAAAGCGAGTTGCCATTTCTTCCTGAGAGGCTTCTTCATCCTCTTTATCTTCTTGTAGCCTCTTCATCCTTTCCATTAAGGCCTCCAGCTCACTTAAAGAATCTGCGATCTGCAAAAACACCATGACATTCTGCAAAATTAGAAGATAGACAACGTGTGTCATCTTCAGATTTCATGCTTGATGACAAACGTTCTCGCACACAGATAGCAGCAGCAAACACAAAAACTCAAGCCAGAATGCATTCCGACACACAAGAGCGCAGGCAAAGAGCTTCCAGGAGCCAGGAGGAGGGAGCTGGGAAGTGTTACTCTAACCTACCGCAGTTATCTAACAGTGGAAGAGGTGGTGTTTGAATGTGGAAAATCAGAGTTGCTTAAAATACATATTCCGCCATGTAGATGGCTCCAGAAAAACCATCTGTGTGCTCTACGTGTATCAGGAGACAACTTTTAATATCAAGGTATTTTTTTTCAGTCTATTAGTGATGCAAAATATGGTTCTGAAGAGATACAGTGCAACGCTGCAACGCAGGAACACAACCTGAGACAGCAAATCAGTCTTTGCTTTTTCTTCTCATTACACATGATCAAAATGACCACTGTGCTCACCCTTTCTCTTGCTTTCGTGAAGTAAAAAGGCCTCTACTAGAAATACATCAAAGTTCGAGGTTCTGTGATCTGTTCATGTGATTCAGATTTTTCATAACATAGACTGAGTGGGTTTTGATTTTTCATCTTTTCCTTTTGATTCTGCTCTTCTGCCCATGGCTCTAAGTGTTTTTTGGAATGCTGCTCACTGCTTTACAAGCAGCAGTCAGCAGCAGCACTTTGCCCGCTACAAATGAGACTACGACACTCCAGAGATTTGAGCTGGCATGTCTTAGAGCCCAGAAAGTTAAGATACAGCAATTAAACTGGCTGATCACAAGTTCACACTGTACTGCTCATTTTTACAAATATATCTAGTAATTCTGTTCATAATCCCAATCTTCCATCAGATGTGATGAGTCTAATTCATCAATCAGCATTAATTCAAGGACATGGTTTCAAAGCATTCTAGAGGCACTTGCAGAAAAAAATTCCACATTTAAGTTAATTAACCAGTAATCAAAGTTCTCTGGTGGTTGATTCAAGACTGGAATGCCAGTATGAAAAAATTAAGTAATTTCATTTCAGACATTTCCTCCTATCTACATCAAAGCATTTCAGAATTGATCTGTTCTCTGACTGCAGGCCTTGAAGTCTAGATAGATAAATAAATAAATAAATAGTTGGTCGCTGTTATTATCATTGTCATTACTACTGCTTCCGTTTCACACACACACAGAATCACACACAGAATGTCAGGGGTTGAAGGGACCTCAAAAGATCATCTAGTCCAGCCCCCTGCCAGAGCAGGATCACCCAGAGTAGGTCACACAAGAATGCGTCCAGGTGGGTTTTGAATGTCTCCAGAGAAGGAGAGTCCACAACCTCCCTGGGCAGCCTGTTTGTTTGGTTTTTTGGTTTTTTTTTTCCCCCCCATTTCTTTTTTCATTCCATATTAGGAACATGGATTACACAATGGTCCAGTCAGCAACACATTATCTGGAGAAACTGGGACTTGAAGCTTTCAGCTGAACGCACAGTTTTAGTCTCATCCAATGGTTTGTGAGGTTAAACATCGAAACCACACTGCTCTGACTACCACCCACTGTTACTGTGTGGTTTTCAATAGATTACACTGAAAACTGCCATAGTGAACTAAGAGTTACCAGACTCAAGTATTCCAGTAAAGCAGAGAAAAACTTTCGAATTGTCCTGAAATTTAAAGAGGAAAGAATGGAAAAAAAGTTTTCTAATGCAAAACAGAGGCAAGCAAAAGAATCTTCTTGCAACACTAACCCCAAAGTTGCTACTCGTGAGGGATGCATTTTCTATGTTGTTGTCATTGGCAAGATCACAGACACAGAAGTTGTTGACTGCTATAAGTCTGACTCCATTAGATGTATCCGGATCTCTCTCTGGATTAATGCCGCTACCAAACACAAAACTTGCCAAGGCATGATAATGTGCCAACAGGACAACAGCGTGCACCAGCTCAGGAAGAGACCAATTATTTTCCCCAGTCTTGACAAGTTTCTGAAATGAGAATAAGAAAACGGTAAATAGAAAATTCCTTTTGGCCCCCAGCTTTTCTATAATACATGATGAATTTTAAAAAGGGATCAATTCCTTTCCTCCAACAATACCGTATTCCTCTTGCACACAAACTCTCACTGGATAAAAAAGAGAGACACTTAACACACTATCTCTTTTCTTTTGGGATTTTATTAGCCAGCACTATTCCTAAAAAGTAAATCTTGTTGATTTTGTCACGTAGAATAATTTACTCGCTTATTCAATGCTCTAGTACTTCCCTGCATTTTTTAACTCAACGTAAGGAAGCCTAACCAGACATTTGTGTAGATTTTAGCAGTTCTTATTACTAGACATTTACTTCTATTACAGGGCATGACTTAACAGGTACCTGAATGTGCTCTTTCGTGATCAGCCAGGGCCGGTGTGCAAGGAGCTTGTTTATTTCGTTCAGATTTTTCAGTCTTTGGGGAATGTATTCTAAACCATTCAACCACTCTGCAATCCCGCCAGTCTTCAAAAACTCATCAACGTGCATATTTATTAGGTAGGAACACTGATGTCTGGCAGCAGCCTGCAATAATTAAACACCGAGAGAAAAGGGCAGCACATTAGCGTGTAATCTGATATTGCCGTGGGTGCAAGACAGGGTACTAACCCAAAACAAAAATACTACTTCATTCCAGTAGGCTGTGTTTCATATTGCAGTGGATCTCTAAGCAGTACGGAGGATGCTCCAGTAAAAATACATTTCATTACTCTGAATCACAGAATCTACTTCAGGTTGGAAGAAATCTCTAGAGGAGATCTGGTCCAACCCACTGCTCACAGCAGGGCTGACTTAGATCAGGGTGCCTGGAGCCTTGTCCACACAAGATCTCCATCCCAGGAGATCACACAATTTTTCTTGGCCCCTGCTACAACATCTCAATATCCTCATGGTTAAAATTCTTTTCTTAGCATCCACCTGGAACTTGTTGTGACTTGAGTTCACTGCATGTCATCCTACTGCTGCGCCCTGATGGGTAATATCCAGAAATAAGGTTACACAGTTCTAACTGCTCTCTGTAAAACCTCATTCTTAACGGCATAGAAGTGTGTCGCTGTGAGAAACAGGGAAACATGTTGCCAATTCTCCCTTCTCACTGAAAATCTTCTGGCTAGGCATGCTTTATTCTGATGAAAATCAACTACAGAAATTCACCCTCTGCCAAAATGTCACACTAGTGTCTCCTTTCTAAAGTATTTTTTCTTTTTTTTTCTTTTTTTTTAAATACACAAGTCAAGGTCGCAGCAGAAAATACACCGTCTGTTTGTACATACCATTATAGCAATGTAGTGCCTATAGGGCAAAGGGAGGGGCCCATCCATGCGCAGCATATAGAACTGGCTGCGGAGGAAAGACTCCAGGTACTGAGTATGGATACTCATCACCTGTGTGATGTTGTCCAGGCGACCAGATGTAGAGTATTCTTCCACAAGAAGATTAGTACGTTCATCCAAACCATTTGCTTGCATAACCTTAGAAAGAAGATGGAAAAAGTTAACAGAGAAAGTGATTTTTCTCTAGCTTTCTCCCTGGAGAGAACCGTACTGCGGCATGAAAGCACTGTGTGCTTGTGTACAAACTGCAGGGCAATGCTGGAGATCCAGATGTAGATTTGTAAATACAGGTGACTGCATGACTGCACAGGGAGATGCTACTTGTATATGACAACTGGAGAGCGCTTTACACTGTACCTGTTACTTTAATATGTTTCTATGAAAACAAAAAGCATTTTCCAGTAGACCTTTCCAAAACAGTTAAACTTAGAGATGCTTCAAGTCAGACCTGTACAGAGAGCTGGAAGTAAGCAAGAGCTAATGGAAGGTAAAGTCGTTATGGAAGTCAGCCTGTACAGACACACACCACCCGAGCATTCAGCCCCAAAACGAATTTCAAAATTAATGGAGAGGAACTGGGTTATGTAACCAAATTATAGAAACAGCCTGGCAATCTACTCCTTCTGTGCTTGTATAATTGAAGAGGAGATCAAATGCTAATTTGTCCATAACATTCAAGTATTATTTAGGATAGGAATTTAATGCTTTCTTTAAACAAAAGCTGTTCTTTAATTATTCCAACCAATCCAAACCTTGGGCACAAGATGAAATGAAACAGTGAAAGAGTAAGTAGCTCTTGCACTGCAAGCCCTGACATAGTATTAGTGCTATTACTCAGTGTTTATCACCCAAGAATGGCCATTCTCAACATGTTCACCACTGAAGTTACAAGCACAAGGCTAGAATACCCAGCATTTATTCTGAAATTCCAGCTGACTATTGCAAACACCACAAAATGAGAAAGCATTTAACCTGGTTTATTGCACATGAAGATAAAAGCGCCTAAACCAAAGAAGACACAATGCTTTTGCTGAAATATTCTATTTAAAATACATTTTCCTTCCCTGTGATGGGCTGATGCATGCACCACACCTCAAATATTTTTCCATTAAATCTTATAGAGAAGTTACATACAAAGAAACACAAAACGACATGTTGCATCTTCACTTCTCACCACTTTACCTCCCTGTTTTAATTTGTGGGTCCACGAAGGGAAGAAGCAGCTATGCAGTAAGGCAGCTCTGTCATTTTTACATGTGCAGTTCTTCACTGTGGCAGCTTTTCTTTGTTTTGTACCCCAAATGACACCTCCTCAGTTTTCCATAAGAATGTTTCTACCTTCAGAAGTTTATCCACACATTAGAGATCATTTTATCTCACTTATTACTTACTGTATGTCCCTCGCTTCACTCCAAGGAGTCCTCCTTACTCTCCAACAACTGTATCTCCCCTGTCTCATTTAGTAGTTTCTTAGGAAAATCATACTTTTCCTGTCTCTGATAAGGTTCCTAATCTTCTCCAACCTGTCAGGAGTTTTCCTTGTAACAGGTACAAGTTCTGGAGAATAAATTCTGCCGACAAAATTGAAATATAATCCTGTAGGACCACACTGCTGCTATGTCTGGCATAGCAACATGCTGCATTACTGCTTCTGAGGCGCTTCTCCACCTATAGCACTATCCTCTTCATACTGTGTATATATTTCCTCTTGATTTATTACCATACATGGATCCACAAACATGTCTTTTAATCCGGCTTGTAGAGCTGTACGTCACTTTAACGTGAACCTTTACAACTAAGTTGTTATTGCTCTGTCCATATTCTTCCATTACGACAGTAAAGCAGGCTTTGACATGAGCATTGTTACTATCAAGATTTGTGAGACATTCAGTGCATTACTAATCTCTAACTACATCCTTCCTATCCACTGTATCCTTTCATGCCAAGGAACGTGGGAAAAAGGCAGTAGTTTGCTTAACAAACAATATTTAACATTTGTTTCTGACACTGAATAGCTGTTTTATCCACACCCGTGCAGGTTCCCTGCTTGTACTGGGTAACTGCTGGGCTTTCTCCTTCCTGAGAGCTACTCACTGCTTCCTCCTGCTCCTCTGACTGCCCTTACCAAGTGTAGTAGCTGTGAAATAAATTCACTGACACTTCTCTCAAAACACATTATCATTTTAACTACATTTCTTTTTCTACTTTTTAAATAATTACTGACTCTATTATAAAAATTAAGTCACTACCAAGTTTGACATCTCAATTTCATCTCATATTTCATAAGAAAGGGAAGTCCTCTTCACAAATTCGACTGAACTCATTCTGCTCCCCTCTTCCCAAGCCTAAAAGACTCTTTTTTATCTCTGTTCCTCTTTGCTTCATTAGGTTTTATTGTTGCCATCAGTTACTCTCTCACTTTTTTTAAATTCGTTTTGCCAAATGGAGAGAGACTCAGAGGACATCCCCCACTAGATCAGGCTGCCCAGAGCCCCATCCAGCCTGGCCTTAAAAACTTCCAGGCATGGGGCTTCCACCACCTCTCTGGGCAACCTGTGCCAGGGTCTCACCACCCTCATGGGGAAGAACTTCTTCCTAATGTCCAATCTGAACCGACCCATCTCCAGCTTCAATCCATTCCCTCTAGTCCTGTCACTGCCCAACATCCTAAGAAGCCCCTCACCAGCTTTCTTGTAGCCCCCTTGAGATACTGGAAGCCACAATAAGGTCTCCTCGGAGCCTTCTCTTCTGCAGACTGAACAGCCCCAACTCTCTCATTCTGTCTGCACAGGAGAGGGGCTCCAGCCCTCTGAGCATCCTCGTGGCCCTTCTCTGGACACGCTCCAGCACGTCCAGAACTTTCTTGTTTTATAGTTGGCCACTCCAAAAATAATAAATAACAATCTGTGAAGACTGAAATCACAGAACACCACCACAGAAGCTGCAACTCAAGGCTTAAGCAGAAATCTTCAGTCTGAAGTCAAGCTGTACCTTTCAACCATCAATTCTCTCAAAAGTCACAGTTAAGGTCTGAGGAGTTATTCATATTTTCAGGTTCTCTCAAAGTGAAGGTCAGACAGCGCTCTGAGAGCTCTACAATCATGCCGCTGCAGCACTGGACAGGCGTCCCCCTGGGCCTGCCATTAAGGGCAGCAAGTGATGATACCCCAGGAGGAGAGCAGAGCCGGCACTCACGGCGTCTCCGGGAGCGCTGCTGACTGAAGAGACGTCAAATGGCACCACCTGTGTGAAAGGGCTGGCTGGTTCTTACCCACTGGAGCCTGCTGCAGAGAAACCATCACTTTTGCTCACAGAGGAGCTCATCCAGGTACCACAGGATGAGCAGGATTGTAAAACTGTCCTTTGCTATTTCCACGCTATAAGCTATTGGCTGCCCATCGCAGCGAACCGCAAACTTACTTCATTCTCGGGTATAAAGGCACTTGGTCCTCTTGTCAGTGGTGGGGAGACTTGCACTCTTTTTTCCTGCAAAACAGTCACAGAATTTGGTCAGTGTCAGGCATAACGTATTAACTCACTTTAGCTCGCAAGAGGAGATCTTAAGGGCCTGGGTCCAGTTCTCTTCCCAAGGCCACCTGAGGAGGTGAAGCCACCGCACCCCGTTGGTTAGATCAGCTTTGCACCCCTTACACTCAGCACGAACGAACAGCACCGACTTTAGCAAACAGGTAAGACAGAAAAAAACCCAAAGAAAAATCTAATCCCAACTGGTTTAGAGACCAGCTTGAAGGCAACAGCAATAGAATATTCATCTCAATGCTAAAATTAGCCATTTGATTGAACTGAAGTTTGGAAAGCAGAAGGGAAAAAAAGCCACACTTGGGAGTAAGTAAGACACAGAGTAGCAAGACATTGTTTTCTTCAATATCAGCATCTAATGAGATTCTGAGTGTGGAGAAGAGTGTCAGCACTTTTTGTGCCAAATATCGGCATAAAAAGCACAGCCCTCGCAAACCAGTGAGACTCAATTAAAGGCCTGTTCTAGAAACTCGACAAAGAGGCTGCCTTGCTCCGCTGCTGAGAGGAGACACCACAGGCAGCACAAGCCTTGGTGCATAAAGCCCAGCTAGAAGTCATCAAACACCCTTTGAGGATGATATATTTAGTACAGAGCAGACCAATAGCGAAACAAGAGCCAGAGGACTTTTCTGATTTATTAGGGATAAGAAACTGAACTAAGACAAACTGTGGAGGCTCTCAAAGGTCAGCTGGGCTGAAGGGGACCTGGAGAGGCTGCCTGCTCCCTGGGTTCACCACGTCATTCCTGACCAGTGTTGGCCCACTCTCCTCTTTAAGACCCTCCTGGAGGCTCTTCTGTCTCCCTGCGTCATTTATTTCAGTGACTAACTCCTCAGATTGTTAGAAAGCTTTCCTTGTGTCTAATCTGAATGTCTCTTGCAGTAATTTAAAGCAGCTGCTTCTTGCCTTTTCTTCTTTTCCTCTTTAGGGTTATACTCCACCTATCTGGAAACTTTCTCAAGTAACTCACCGCACTGCAGCACTGCTGACTCTTAATAAGTCACCCAACAGCAGAAGTATCAGATTTACATGCTAAATCTTTCGTGCCCTTAACATGCAAGTCCGAGGTTCTCCATGACAAATGACCCTTAAATACCTCTACCAGAGGGACTTCAGTTTAACTGCCACGTGTACAAACAGCAGTGCCACCGATTTCCACACAGGAAAATGAAGCCACTGGAGCTGTGTAACTATTGTCTTGATCCTCAAAAACATCCTGTCCTTTCTAAATTAGATTATGAAAAACCATGCAAAAATCAGCAGTGACTATTCAGGACAGATGTTCCAAAGCAAGCTCTCATAGGACCACTAAATTTATGACTTCAGAATAATTAGCTGCTAAAAGATGCAGAAATAAGCTGGATCTACTGTGTGAAGCCTGGCAGCCAGGAGACAACTCACTGTCACTGTCGCCTGCTGTCACAGCCCCAAAATCCTGCAAAATACTTCACAGGAATCAGATGTACTCATTCTAAAGTAAGAAGAGAGGGTGTAGGGAGAACAGGTAACTGCACACGCAACCCCTTCCTTGCACAGCTACACAAGGCACAGGAAGACATCTTTTAGCTTTAGTTTTTAAAGTGTTTTACAATCGTGCTAGCAGCCAGCCATTTCTGCCACCACACAGAAAAAAGAAAGAAAGGCTTTCCAAGACTACCATTAAGGTTGCATTTTACTTGTTTTACGAAGGTTATCTGGGTATTAGAGTTTAAAACCTTCGCTTCATACTCCATAATCTGGAGGAAGCAGTTTGCATGAGTGAGATGACATGGATAGTTGCAAACCGTCCGCTCTCGCTGGAGCACGGGTCGAAACCAGAGCTGAACCGTTGCCTTCTCCATCCTGCTCTCTGCCCTGTACCCTGCTTCTTCAGGCTCTGCAAAGCTGGTTCTCAAAGCCAAAATAAAATGCATACGCTTCTACTAGTGGGATCTGCGCTCCATTCCCCGTTCAATGTGACTGCTATTACCCCTTTGACCCTGCAGATAAGCTGCTGCTGAGAAGGAAGGGAGGAAATGGCACTTGGGTGGATGAACGTAGGCAAGTATCTCCAACCAGTTCCTGTGAATGACGACAGAAAGCCAAAGAGATAATCAGACATGAAAACTGAGGTGTGTCAAATACTTCATAAAGAGGACCAAACCCAACTCTTTTTGAGTGGCAGTTCTGAAAAACACCAGCCTGGAAAAAGTAAAACCAAACCTGACCAAAATAAGAACAATAAAACAAACCCTAACCATGGTAATTCAAGTCGGTGAGTCTAATCTCAGAGCACTTCCAGGGAGCTGGGTTTTTCCTGTATGGAAAGTGTATACTCTTCCCTTCCATCAACACGAAAGATTATTTTGCCTTCATGCCAAAGCTTTTGTTTTATTAAAACTGGTTAAAACAAGCTCGTCAGAAGAAAATGAGCAAACATTATCTGGTTGCACAAGTTCTCAGGATGCTATTAATAAAAACATGGGAAGTTTACAAGCATTAAGAAAGATAATGTTGGCTTTGTTGAGCTGTAGATAAGAACCATGGCTTCTGGGCACACTTTATCTAGAGCAGTGATTTAAGGTCTATCCAAGAACCCAAATATGAAAAACTTTGTATGAGAATTAGAAACAAACATTGCAGATACACCATCCTTTATGGTTAAAGCTGCTGTGAAGCTTCCTGTTTCCAAAGAAAGTGGGTTCATTTTCCTGTCCAACTAGTCTTCACAGGTTACACCAGCCATTGCTAAGTCAGCCAGGGTCCCAAATATCTTATTTGAAATTGTGCATGCTAAGTGGATGAAGCAAGAAACAGGTTGCTCAGCAACTAAAATACTGTACGCACGTAGAGCAGCCATCTTCTCCTTCACATTCCTCCAGAAACACATTGTTGGCGTACGAACGCGTTACCTTAAAAGGTTTGCAACCAATTCCATTTACATTAAGATCAGCGTCTTTTTGGGAGGGTGCTTCTTTGGCAGGAAAAAGACGGTGAAGAGCTTCAAAGATAAGCAGAGAAAACTGAGCACTGGCAGGTTACTGGGAGAGGGGCAACTGCCAGCCAGAGCCTAGAAGCAGGTTCTGCAGTAGCACACGATGGTGTTAGGCAGCAGAATGAGACCTCTGCAGACCACGGGGCAGCTGCTGCAGGAATTAGACTGAAAAATCAGGTCTGAGCAAGCTTTGTCCTGTGACTGGCTTTCTGTCCTTAAGCTGCTCTTGCAGTGGTGTCAGGAGGTAAACATCAGGAATTCTAACGCTGACGAAGTGGAGCCATTTCTCATTCGCACGTCTGTAATTTGCAAGAAACATCTTCATCCTTGGGTGAGCTCTGCCCAAATCTACCCCCCATCCCGAGCCAAAAGCTGCGACTTGCCATCTCACCGGGTTATTTTTAGTCGTGGGCGCTGGGACACAGCACCTGCATCTCCAATCGCTGCTGGGCTGCCAGAGCAAAGGAAAGGATGTCAGAGCCGCTTGGCTGGCAACGTGGCCACCGAGCCCAAACGTGAGCCCAGCTGGTGCTGGGCTGGCACAGCAGCTCTCCTCCCAAAGCCTAGTTGGAAAAGAAATAACCCTCCTTCCTCTTCACTATCACATGAGTCACCGCGTCCTCGGGCTTTAAAGAAACCGCTATTTTTAGCAAGCTGTAAAAGGAGGCTGTTTTATTTGAGCACGGAGCAGCTAGCTGGTGGGGCTGATGGAACAGCTGGTTTAGGAAGTACTTCTGAATACCCATGAAGGCAGAAAGCCCAGGCGAGAAGCAAGTGGCTGCACTGGTGCGGGTGTATGGGGGCTCGTCACGCACACAGCGCACAAGATCTACTCAGCATCGAGCTGGTCGTACTGCGACTGGGGAAAAAAAAGGTGAAGATCACTGGGGAGGAATATTTTGCACCTCAAGAGAGAATTTTGCAAGCTGTGGCAACGCTGCCACTCGTGCCCCTATGAACTCCCAGAGCAGTGCAAAGAAACATCCACAAAGGGGCTCAGAGCCTCCACACTGACATAAACTGCTGCCACTCTAAAGACACTGGGACAACAAACAGCATTAGATCTAATATAAGGGTATCCCCAAATTAGCTTGTCCTGAGGAACAAACTTTTGCCTTAACAAGCAGGGTAGTTTTTTTGCAGGGGGAAGGTGAGAAGTATGTATTTCTTATTTATTACACCTTTTCTTATAATCTACAAGCAATTTCGCTGTGACCTAGCATTTCTCAGGGTCTTTATCATTTCAGTTCAGTGGTCTTTACAATACTCATTGTCACGCGTGGCAATAATCTGAGTCACATCTGTCACTGGGACACCTGGGTGGGAGTGGAGAACTGGGTTTAGGACCCCCAGTCTGAGGCTGACTCTCCCCAAAGGGATCAATTTTTGTCCCAGTCCCAGATTTATTTTAGAAACTGGTTTCTCCTAACCCCACCATCGCTCACTGACTCATTTCCACTTGCGGTTCTCAGATCCTGGGGCAGGGTCTACTTCCACTTGCTCCCATCATAGCCCAATGCTCGGTGTTTCAGTGACAACACAATTTTACAGTCATGCTGGACTGTCTGCTCATTCTATCCTTGCTGTAGGCAGAAGAAAACATGAAAAAATAAATCAAAAATGAAAGTTATCTGAACAGTGATTGTGCCTCAGCTTCTACTATTATTCTAACCCTTCCTCAGCATGCGGGAGAGATTTTGTTTATTGCTACATATGCCAAGGTGCATTTTAATTTATGCACCTCACTTTGTCAGAGGAAGAGGAGAAGCTTATGATGCATCCAATTCATTTTAGATGGGAACTTCAAATACTTTTCACGAATTTATATAGGTTTGATAAAATATTTAAAGCTACACATAGTCGTGTTGACCGAGAGGAAAACCAAACAGACACAGTATCCTTGCCTCTCTATGTCAGGGCTCCTGGCAGGTTCTGATTGACAAGAACAAAAGAGAATATTCATCGA